TTGGTTTCCATCAGAAGCAGGGGAACCTTGAGTAATTCAGATGTCAAATAGTTTCCTTTAAGATTGATAAAAAGCATATTCTCAACATAGTGAAAATTTGAAAAAAAAAATAAATAATCACAAGGTTTATTCCTTTTACAATGTAATTTTCTAAGGCAGTACTGAAAAACATGGAAGATGGAGTCTTTCCCTTACAGATTTTGTAGCCTACAGACTCTATATTGCTAAAGTACAATATTAAATTCAGATGAAGCATAAATTTTAAAAATATGCAGGAGATTCTACACAATAAAGTTACCCCTTTAATCAGTTCAATGACAAATAGAGCACAGGAAATGAATATTTGGTACATTTTACAATTATACAGAGCAGAGCAAAAGTCAGTATGCTAGGAATCACATCCCTAAAGGCCAAAAGGATAAAGCTTTAGAAATGGCTTAGTTATGCGTATCAAATAAAGGCTCAAGGGCCAGTTAGAGATAATCAATTTGAAGATACCATCAGAAATATAAAGTTTTTTTTTTTTGTAGATATTGTTTAAAGGGTGAACTTTGGTGCAACTATAAGATTGTTTCTCTTCAGATCTTAAGGTTAAAGTTATATATTTTTATGATCCTCAGACCTCATGGAGTATCATGTATCACATTTCTTTTGGTTTTTTTTCTCCAGGTGTGTGCTTTTACTCTAGATTCTAGACTTCCAAGAAGAAATAACCCTAATGTAACAACCCAGACCTTCTTCTTTCTCTTTTTTCCACTACAAGCTTGTAAGAATTATAAACCAGAATCACTAGAAACATCCTCTAGCTTAATAATCCGAACAAAATTTAAACCCAATTTGATTTAATTCATAGAACCAAATAAAATGGTAGAGAAACACAACAAAAAAATTGAGCCAGAAGTAGAATCACTTAACTCCAGCCAGCCAACCCATTAAAAAAATAAAATTTAGTAGCAAAAGAAATCATACAAATTACAAAGAAAACAAAGCTTCATCATTTACTTAAAAAGGCACAAATAAATTGTTATAAGAAAACCTGAAGATCTTTGAGAGGCACCATCTATAGATAAATGGTTCATTTCATACTTGTTTTCCTCATCCTGAGCCTTTAGTTTCACCCCTTTGTTCTTCCTCCTCGATCCAAAACAAGGGCAACGACCCATCAGCCCCTAATTAGAATTCTACACCAAAACAACCTGTTTTCTTCTATTGTCTTATATAAAGATGGTGGGCATAGAGAAAAAGAGAGAGCGGAGAAAAAACAAAAATAAAAATGAAGGCTTTCAATTTCAACCCCTTGAAGAAGAATATGTCAGTTTCAATATACCATGTTAAAATATTAACGTTGATCAATGCCCCATTGTGATTGTGATGACCATGTGTTATTTATTTCTTATTACGATCATTTATGGAATTCATCATGTGCTTTGTGTGTTGAGAGAGAGATAGATAGAGAGAATAATTTGAAGATAATGATGATGATGTTTTTGTAATGGGTAAATTCATCAGTTTCATTGAGACCCAGAATTGAATTCCATGAGTTCTTTTCCTATTTTAGGAAAATATGTGGGACATATGGTTCAGTTTATGATGATATGCATGGCCGGTTGCTTTCTCTCATCGTACTTTGTCTCTAAATCTGTCTTATTATTCCATATTTCTCTCTGAAGCTGTTGCTGTTGTTGTTGATTGTTGAATTTAAGGTTTGTGATATTTACTTGTAACGTATCAAGAGTTTGTCAGCTTGGAGATGCATTTCTTATCTTTTTCACCTTGCAAAATGAAATTTTTATTTCAAACCTTTTGTTTTATTTATTACAATGTTCACAGGATTGGGCCACGATAAGACCGAAATTGAAATCGGTTATATTTTGCAATCTTAACCAAATAAGGGTTGAATTGATTTGAACCGGGAAAATTCTGGTTTGACTGTGTTAAATTCGGTTAAACTGGAATAATTCGGAAAGTAAAAAGGATAATCTTGATTGTGTTAAACCTGGTTAACTGGAATAATCTGGAAAGTGAAAAGGACGATTCACTTGAAATAAAAAAACACGGAACACTACTCTAATGTTTTATTTTACTCAAATCCAAAAATGATTGGAAAATGTTACTACAATATAATTATATACAATTTCATATATGTGTATTTATAAGTAATTAATTATATATGAAATCACCCGATTGGTAAACCTAATACTAAATTTCATCTAGTTTGATGTTCAGTTCTTTCCCAACATGATTTATTACTTTTTTACATTTTTTAAAACTATATAAACTATTAATAAATGAGATTATCAATTAAATTAAGTATTTTATTTTTTCTTCAATTATATATTTATTAATAATTTATATTTTCAACTTACATTCTACAATTTTCAAATTGAATAAAATGTTAATACCCATTTTGGTTTGTCATCTTTTTCGTAGGTACCAAGTTAGTACCTAGAAAATTTTAATTGTCATTTTATTCCCCAACAATTTGTACGTTAAGTTAGGTTAGTCATTCCGTCAACTCTCATCTGTTAAGTCCAACAGAGTTGCTCACGTAGCCACTATTGGATAGTCCTACGTAGACTGTTTGTCATGTCACCAACATAAGGTTTTTTTTTATTTTCTACACAAAACGAAATTGTTTTGTTTGTAATTTATTTTAAAAAAAAAATTATTTTTATTTTTTTAAATAGTTTCTTTTTTACAAAAATAAGTAAGAAAAACGACGTCGTTTTGTTATTATTGTTTTTTTATTTTTTAAAGAAAACAATGTTGTTATGTTTAATTTTTAAAAAAGAAAATTAATTAAGCACAAAATGACGTCATTTTACTTATCTTCTAGCTTATATCATCTTGCCTCAATGAAAAAGGGAAATTGTCCCAAATTTTGTAAACCTGAAACTTGAGAAGGAAATTTTGTAAACCTGAAATCCTGAGAAGGAAATTTTGTCCCCTCTTTTATATCTCATGAGAAGGTATGGCAATGTCAGCTCTTATTGCAGATCTCATCAAAGCTATCGAGATGTTAGCTTTGTGGGTAGAAGATTTCCTCCTCCAATGTGTCATTGTAAAAGGGGTGTTGTTGTATACACATCAAACACTATGAAGAACCGAAAGAAATAGTTCTATAAATGTCCATATTTCAAGGTTTGCACTGTTTTTTTACTTTCCCATTTATGCATATGGCAATCGAATTTGGGACAATGTCATTTTTTGTCATTTTGATTGTTTTACAAGAAGGAAACAAATATTGTGTCAATTATTTTATGCGGGTTGAAGATGGAGAAAGAAATCAAACCATGAAGGAAGAACATGGAATGGATCATGCTATGGATATGGTGAGTTGCAAGCTAATGTAAAAGAAATTCAAATGATGATGAAAAAATATGTCATATGGTCCAGAAAAGTTGTGGTTGTAGTAGTTGTGTTTAGTCTGTTATTTGTTGTTAGTGTTAGTTTGATATGTCATATGGTCTACGTAGGAGTATTGAAGTTATGAGATGCATTACATACTTATGTTTTTGGAAACATATTGCATTAAAGCACACAAAAACAAATTGCAGATTCCAAATTGCATATTGCATTGAATACTTAGAATCCTTTGAATTGCAGACTACAAATCAAATTACAAATTGCACAAAATGATATGTGCATTACAAAATTACAAAATTACCAAAATACAAAATGACCACTACATTAGAAGAATAACATAAAAACCATAGTAATAACCAAAATAAGGTAATAGCCATAATTTCTTATTAACATCCTTTGACTTAATTCTTGGTGGCTTGAACCTTGAAGATTGTTTTCTTGGTTTGACTTGAGGTTGGACCTGCTGGTCTTGGTTGGGTTTAGGTGGTTCAAATGGAATTGAGGTTGGGTCTGATATTCTTGGTTGGACTTGAGGTGACTCCAATGGACTTGAAATTGGAGCAACTGTTGTTGATTGGACTTGAGGTGACTCCATTGGGTTTTCATCCTCAAACTGAAACAAAAGGTAGATATAATTTTAGGCTGAGAAACTGACATGGTAATAAAATGTCCATTTTTTATACTTACTAACATCATTGGGTATCTAAGATTAGTTGGAAATATAGGTTGTCTTCCATTTGCAGTTCTGGATGAACCAACCTAACTCTCCTAGAAGGAGTATAAACATGGATGAAGACAATATAGAAAACAGTTTAATAGTATAGAAAGCAGACAATATAGATAACATTATTTACTTGTGTTTGAAGTAATTCAGCCTGGTGCATGTTTTCATGAACCCTTGTGTCATTCTTCTTACCATTCTTTCGTAGCATTCGTGGACCTTTACATGCTTTCCCATAATTTCCTTATTCATTACATTTTGGAAAAGTTGCCTTCCATGACCTTTGCAAAAATCATTCACATTCTTGGACTGCAACACTACAACCACCATTTCATTGATATCTTTATCGTTCTCCAGTGGCATTAATCCAGTACCCAAAAATGAATCTATAGGGTTTAACCAATACATTGCCTTGAAATCATGATAACCACACTCAAAAAATAATGTATTCATATTCTTTAAGTTTATAAAATCCATGTACATAGAGGTCATTTATTCAACTTTTTCATGCATGTATCGGAAGTTGCCATCAGAGCCCTTCAAAAACAACCCTCATGGTGATAGACCAACACTATATATTCAGACATATATCAGCATGAATTTAAGGCACTATTAAATATACTAAATAATTGGAAATTAAGCAACTAAAACAAAAAGACAAACTTGATGACAAACACAATGAAACACATGCAAAATAAAAAAAGGACCAATAGACCACAACACAACCTAATATACAAATATTAAACTACCAATGGACAATAATAAATAAAGAATATAAAAGTATGAGTAATGGAATACATGCAGGAAATAGAAAAAAAGAGAAGGAACTACATACCTCAAAATCCAACGTCTGTCAGTTCCACCCCCAAAAATCCAAAAAAATAGTTTGGTAATGCTACCTCCCGTGAAAAAAAGAGGTGCAACACCAGGACTTCCTAAGAGGTCACCGATCCTAGTACTACACTCGCCCAATCATGCTTAACTATGGAGTTCTGATGAGATCCGGTGCATTAGTGTTGGTATGATCGCACCTGCATGTGTATGAACGATTAAATGTTTTAAGTCGTAATTATCCATTTTTGCATAACTTTAGAACCGTATATTAGAATTCGACATATAATATATGCATTTGGGGTAGAATTTTCCATTCTATCCATTGTAACACACTACGTCTGTCAGTTCCACCCCCAAAAGTCCAAAAAAAGAGTCTGGTAATGCTACCTCCCGTGAAAAAAAGAGGTGCAACACGATGACTTCCCAACAGGTTACCAATCCTAGTACTACTCTCGCCCAAGCACGCTTAACTACGGAGTTCTGATGGGATCCGGTTCATTAGTGCTGGTATGATCGCACCTGAATGTGTACGAGAGACCAAATGCTTTAAGTCGTAATTATCCATTTTTGGCAAAACTTTAGAACCATATATCAGAATTCGGCATATAATATATGCATTAGGGGGAGAATTTTCTATTCTATCCGTTGTGACACACTACGTCTGTCAGTTCCACCCCCAAAAGTCCAAAAAAACCATTTTTAATATTTCGAGTCCGTTAATGCTACCTTCCGTGAAAAATAGAGGTTCAACACGATGACTTCCCAGGAGGTCACCCATCCTAGTACTACTCTCGCCCAAGCACGCTTAAGTGGGGAGTTCTGATGGGATCCGGTGCAGTAGTGCGGGTATGATCGCAGCTGCATGTGTACGCGCGATCAAATTCCTTAGGTCGTAATTATCCATTTTTGGCATAACTTTAGAACCGTATATCAGAATACGACATATAATATATGCATTCGGCGTAGAATTTTCCATTCTATCCGTTGTGACAATGTACGTCTGTCAGTTCCACCCCAAAAGGCCATTTTTAATATTTCGAGTCCGTTAATGCTAACTCCCGTGAAAAAAAGAGGTGCAACACGAGGACTTCCGAGGAGGTCACCCATCCTAGTACTACTCTCGCCCAAGCACGCTTCACTGCAGAGTTCTGAAGGGATCCGGTGCATTAGTGCTGTTATGATCGCACCTGCATGTGTACGCGCGATCAAATTCCTTAAGTCGTAATTATCCATTTTTGGCATAACTTTAGAACCGTATATCAGAATTCGACATATAATATATGCATTCGGGGTAGAATTTTCCATTCTATCCGTTGTGACACTCTACGTCTGTCAGTTCCACCCCAAAAGACCATTTTTAATATTTCGAGTCCGTTAATGCTACCTCCCGTGAAAAAAAGAGGTGCAACACGAGGACTTCCCAAGAGGTCACCCATCCTAGTATTACTCTCGCCCAAGCACGCTTACCTGCGGAGTTCTGAAGGGATCCGGTGCATTAGTGCTGGTATGATCGCACCTGCATGTGTACGCGCGATCAATATCCTTAAGTCGAAATTATCCATTTTTGGCATAACTTTAGAACCGTATATCAGAATTCGACATATAATATATGCATTCGGGGTAGAATTTTCCATTCTATCCGTTGTGACACTCTACGTCTGTCAGTTCCACCCAAAAAGACCATTTTTAATATTTCGAGTCCGTTAATGCTACCTCCCGTGAAAAAAAGAGGTGCAACACGAGCACTTCACAGGAGGTCACCCATCCTAGTACAACTCTCGCCCAAGCACGCTTACCTGCGGAGTTCTGATGGGATCCGGTGCATTAGTGCTGGTATGATCGCACCTGCATGTGTACGCGCGATCAATTTCCTTAAGTCGTAATTATCCATTTTTGGCATAACTTTAGAACCGTATATCAGAATTCGACATATAATATATGCATTCGGGGTAGAATTTTCCATTCTATCCGTTGTGACAAACTACGTCTGTCAGTTCCACCCCAAAAGACCATTTTTAATATTTCGAGTCCGTTAATGCTACCTCCCGTGAAAAAAAGAGGTGCAACACGAGGACTTCCCAGGAGGTCACCCATCCTAGTACTACTCTCGCCCAAGCACGCTTAACTGCGGAGTTCTGATGGGATCCGGTGCATTAGTGCTGGTATGATCGCACCTGCATGTGTACGCGCGATCAAATTCCTTAAGTCGTAATTATCCATTTTTGGCATAACTTTAGAACCGTATATCAGAATTCGACATATAA